AAAAAAAAAAAAAAAAAAAAAAACTAAAAATTCAATCATTCAAACAATTACGTTCACCTATCCTACATCTGTTTCTGAAGTCCACGGAGACACGCAGCGGGGTGAAAACGGGCGGGGGTGGGTGGGAGAACTGGCAATCCACGCGACATTGTCAGTCAGTCACAGCCAGAGAACGTATACACTGTGTATAGGAGGTCTCAGGGGGCAACAGGCAGGGTTGTCATGGCGACGTAACTTGAAATAGTTATTTATTCACAGGACTCGCCTCTGTCCCCAGATCAGGCCACCTCTCACTCACCCATCTCCCCTATTTCGCATACGCAAATGTCCTGAAATATTAATGTGCGTTGAAAATTCATAATCCGATTGGAAAATTTTCAACTGCCAAATATTTCACGACCCAACGTCTAGTTGACCTCTTCACTCTGGTGAAAATTTCAGGGAGAAAACAATTTTTTTAATTGGAAAAATCTGACCCGTTTTGCCCCACGTGCTCCGGTAATATCGCAAAAAAAAAATTTGTGAAATGAAAAGTTTTCTCTCAGCATTACCAGCAACAACCGGGGGTAAAATGAATCGGCTTCCCCGAAAATCCCGAAAAATAAGTCAAATTTATTTCGACATAACGAATTGGATTGGAAATGGCATCGGAATTCCCCTGAGTCTGGGGAAAATCTGGTAGAATCCGTCAGTTTCTTCCTGATCGAAGGTGGAACGTGAGTGCTACCTTCATTCATTTCTCCGTAAAAGACAAACCGAGGAAAAGAAAAGCAAACACGAGAACATTCGAAAAAAAAGCATCCGTATCTGTAGATGGGGCCACTGGAGATAAGAGAGAGCGACAGGAAAGAAGGAAAAACATTGATTGAGCGGTGAAGGGAGGGTGTTCACTGGTGTTGTCGAGGACCGATGAGGCGAATAATCGGATTTGGGGATTACCGGGCTCTTCGCGCTACCCGCAACACTAGTCTCCACACTGTCTGCTTGTGTTCGTATAACCTATCGTCATCGTTTTCAGGATTCATTAACACGATTAGCGCACTTCAATGTTATATTGAACGTGAGTAAGAGGAATGGGAGAGTCAAATTGATTTTATCCATTCGAAAGAACTTTTCGGTTCGTGACTGCATGACAAAATTCTGGCGAAAGTAAACCGTTTTGCCCCAATTGTCCCAAAGATGATGCGGAATAAATGTCTCTCCCCCCATTCTCCCAGATGAATAAACATGATTTATTGTCGTCATCAATAGGATATAGATAAGAAGCATAACATGTTATGAATTCCCGTAATGCCAATTGGAAACGGTCGTTAGGGCGTTACCAGGACACCCGGTATATCGTTGATGTCAACTTCTCCCATGAAAGACAGTCGACCCCATCGAGCCACCCTCCCCAGACCGCGCCCTAATATAAATATTATTACACTTTGATGGGGTTAGTCTGACATTGGGGCCGGTCAAACATTCATATATTCAAATTCTTTTCTTTGGGCCTGGTATTAACGAGGCACGTGTCTAGCCGTTTCATCGGCAATACCTGCGGATTGTCTCTCAACATCTTCAAGTGTCTCATTCTCTCTTGTATTTTTTTTCCATTTAAATTATGCATTGTCTCAATGCACCCTAGAAACCCTAGGACAGCCATGAAAGGGGTGACAGTTCAAGTGGCTGAGGGAACAGAGGCCTAGCTCTCGAGTGGCAAGACCACTTCAAGCGGATTACTTCGTGACCTATCCATCTGGTAATCCCATTTTTTTATTCGAGACGACAATTGTCACATGTTGTAACGCGAAGATTATGTCAATAGATTTATATTTTTATGATTCACAATAGTGAAAATTACGTGGGTTAAGGGCGTTGAATTAAAAATTATGGGTGAAATTTTATTTTCTCCCTGGAATCAGTTCTATTGCCATCGGACAATTGCGACACTTTCCAACACGCGAGATCATTATCCCTCGAACGCATTTATTTTTATCAGAGGGGATCACCACAGTCCTCAAGTACCTGAATATAAAAAGTCCTTGAAACCCCCCCAAACAACAGTTATCGTGAAATTCACTCTCGAATAGTGCAGGGAAATAAAACAAAAATAATCACAAGATTATACTTCGGTAACAATGACATCTTTAATAATCGGTTCAACAACATTACAGTGTTTTTTTTTGTTCATATCCCAATTACATTCCCAATCATCGAATATTCGGGTATTCTCATCATATCCCCATTTTCTTAATTTGAAATTTTCCATTAGATATACATACATACACGTTGTTTTATAAGATACCCTTGCTAGTGCATATTTGTGTGTCAGTGTGTATAATTCTTCTATCGAATTATGACGGGCCAGGTGGTGTAATGCACAGGCAAATTCATCGTACATAGCATTTGTCATCATTTTCGTTAAGGGATTTCTAAAATTCTTCTCATTTACTCTCTGAATTTTCATAACTGCATACCACTGAATATTCTTTATTTACTCGTCTCAATCGTTACTTTAGTCCCAGTCGAGAATATACTTTCTCACCCTTGTGTTAAAATTGATATTATTTATAATTATTACTTTCATCAGTTTGACTTTCATTTAGCGAGAGAATACGAAATAAAAATGGACAAAAATGTTTGCATTTCATAATGGAACGAAGAGCTAAGCTCAGACCCATCATCACTTTCATTCTCACTTTCTTTCACACTTAAATATTTGCATCAAGCAACGAATTCATCATATATATATTTTTTTTCATTAATTTTCATTAATTCTGGTAATTTCCAGCAACTCATATGATATATATCTTTTTATTCATAGTAAATAAATTTATATTTATCGTTAGTTGCCACGACATTCGCATTATGTTACAGTAGGCGTATTGCAAACGCTCGTGGGATATTGAGGATAGATATGCTTCTGTTTTTTTATATATTCACTCTTTTCGCCTTTTTAAAAATTTATTTACAAGGATTTCAAGAGGATTCGGATACGGGAAAATTAAACGAAACTATAGCATATATAGGCAATATTCAGATGTTTCATTTCAGAAAATCTGATTTTTTTTTATAATCTAATCACAAATGGTCTTCCCCACGTTTTCACTTTCTCCCTTATTCCCTTCAGTTCTTTATTTTCTACAGAAATTGGAGAATAATCCTCTATTATTCACTACTGAATTTATAGTCATGATATTTCAATCTTTTCCTTGATATTTTCTGAGACTCTACGGTGATTAGTTTTGGTACATTAAACGATTTCCGACCTCAAGATGGATATATCAACAGTTATATAAGTACTGACTAATGGGAGTTCAACATCGACATCGAATAAGGTCAAGTAGAGGCATAGATACCTATTTTTTTTTCATTTATTTATTTACTTATTCTTTCATTTCGCAAGTTGATGCTTCATTAGGATTGACCAGGCACTGCAAATTTCAAGCACCCAGACGTACTTTCCTGCAAGTGCATTTGTTTATAATAATTTATTAATTTTTCATTGCCATTATTCGTAGTATATGCGATGCGGTTTTTATTACTCGCAATATGTCCTATGAGTATTGACGAGTAGGTAAGGATTTTTCATGCACGTCATTTTCGCGCGTCTAAACCCTCCATTGTTAATGCAAAAAAAATCCAAACGCAATTTTTTATTGTTTTCGTCATGAAAATAAAGAGCGATACATAGTTATTTATTATTCTGGAAGATAAATTGCTTTTACAAGTTTCTAAATGATATTTGTTTGGTGTTTTGCGGTTCTTTTTCTAATAGTTTTAACAGAGAGTACGTGAATTCGTGTAGTTTCAATGAAAAATTTACATCAGCGTACAATCATTCATCGTATTCAAATGAAAAAAGGAGAAATCTAAAAAAATTACTTGATATTTCACTAGCCGGTGCCTCTAAGCCCCCAACAAAACTCTACTTAGAAAAACCTCATAAAAATACAGATATTTAATCCTCCTGTGTTTTAAACATCCGGATTTTTTCTAATCCTAATCATATATTCGCACTTGCACTCCCGACCCAGACTCAACCAGAGCCAGAGAACAAACTTAGAATTATGAAAAAATATTCGAATCCCAAGTTAATAAACTCTGGTTTTTTTTTGTATTCGAGCACCTACTAATCTTAATTATTTGTATTATCCTTTTCATCAATTATTTTCCTAAACTTAATTACTTACTTGCTAATCATTATTTAATTTTTGGATTCCGGGAGTTGGTTGTGGTGCTGATAATTGCAGCCATTTTCCATTAATCCCGGTCTCCTGATATGTTATCCTGGTTCAGCAACGTTTTTGCAACAAAAACATTGACGTAATCCAAAAATCAAAAATTAAGAAAGAACTGAATTATAGCTGCCATCCGGTGATCTACGAGTTCCCTTGCTGACTGGAAAATCCCCGTAAATACCGAATTGACTTATGATCAAGATGGTTGTATTTGGAAACCGATCCGTCATTTCGAACTTCTCCAATTTAATGCCTATTATCTATCACTTTTTTTAATCTCCCCCACTTTTATCACCACAAGAACAAAGAAAACATCACATCACTTGTTAATTTCTTCTTTCTCTCTCTTTCTCTCTCTCTCTCTCTCTCTCTCTCTCTCTCTCTCTCTCTCTCTCTTCCGTCCCCACCCTCCCCCACGCTTTCAATTGAGAATTTTTCCACCCGAGGTAGACGCGATCGGTGAATTGGAAGCCTGCCTTGAAGACTAGTATCAGATCCCATGAAAACGCATTCCATGATTATTTAATATATTTCATCTGTTTTCATTCATTAAATAACACTAGTACATTCCCTGTCTGAAGGGATTACTATCACCCGACGGCCGCTCTGGCTCCGTCGGTCTTCTGAATGGATTAGCATCCTGACTCGTATCACTTCCCCTGAAGTCTTGACTAACATTCCTCTGGCCAACTGTCTGCTGGCCATATCCAGTGCTCTGTTGAGTGTATCTTTGCTGATTATATTGCTGCTCATACGTTTGTTGTTCATAATTGTCCTGCTGATAGCCAGAACTACTCTGATTGTAACCAGACTGATATCCCTGCTCCATACTCTGATCAATGTCTGTCTCCATCCTCCCCTGCGTCAAGTGATTTCCAACATCTCCGGAAATCGGTCTTTGCTCCTGCAGGACATAAGTCTGATACTCTTTGTCCGGTGGGTCTTGCATGAGAACATTAGCCTCGTCCTGGAACGGCTTGAAGTCGTAGATGTGCCTCAAATAGTACAGAACAGGTGCATAGAGGAGATTTGAGAAAGCAATTCCGATATTGAGGGCTGTAAAACCAATAGCTTCAACTACACCGCCAGCTATGATGGGTCCTACAGCATAAGCGACGCTGTAAGATATGTCAGCGATTGCGTAGATGCTGCCGTAAACTGAGACATATCGAACATCCACTAAATATCCAAGCGTGGGCAATAATGCAGTGTCGATCAGAGCGATTCCAAAGCAAATGCCGCAGATGGGGATCATGAGGAACTTGTAAGAGGTTGAGAAAGGTATTATGAAGCAGCAGAGTCCTTCCAAGGCAAGTCCACCAGCGGCCATCAGCCACTGATGCTGTGGATACTGTTTCGCCATTTTGACAGTAATTATTACACCGAATACATGAGGGAAGAACGCAGGCAGCCAGATCACTCCCATTTTCCAGTTGTCCGTGGTTATGTGGTCCTCCATCCAGAGGGAAATTGTTGGTTCCAAGAAGGCAAGAGCTACATTAGACATCATGAGAGCACCAGCACAGACGGCGATGTAAGGATCCATGAACAGACGCCAGATTGGCACAGTCTCAATGTGTTCTCGTGCCCTGTTCTCCTTCAGCTGCTCTTTCAGTGGCTTCATGACGAGGAGTAGCATGAAGCCGTCTGCCAGACTGACCAAGGCGAGGATGAGAAAAGGCATTTCTTTCCCTGCAAATTGATACAGTGCTCCGCCGAACGGAGGGGCCACAAGACAACCGAAACTGATGAATGCTAATGCAATACCCAAGGCTTTTGATCTCTCAGACTCCTCAGTATAGCGATCTGCAATCATAGCTAGACCAGATGTATCAGCGAATGCAGAACCAACGCCCTGAAGACTTCTCGCGAAGAACAACACACCGTAGCTTCTGCCGCAAGCAAAGACAGCCGTCGATAGAAACATGATGCACAATCCAATCATCATGGGAATGTCATACCCAATTCTATCGATCAGAGCACCAGAGAATGGATTCACCATCAGTTGAACGATTGCTTTCGATGCGAATAGAACACCTGTCGCGGAATCCTGTCCATGATGACCAGTATCGTTGTTCGGTGTGCCGTCTGGATTATCAAAAGCTCCGATGAACTTCAAGTAATCTGGTATAATTGGAACAATCACCATGTACAACATATTGTCCAACAGCAGTGCTATCGAAACTATAACCAGGATTAATTTTTTCTGCGGACCCGGCTCTTGCAGTTTCGCCCATATTATGTCCTTCAGTTCACCAATTTCCAAATCCACAATCGGTACTTTGAACGAACTCATGATGATTTCTTGCTGATCTTCAAGGCCAAAGGTTATTCGATCTCACCAATACACCCACTCCGAAGGTTTAAACTTACTCAGGGGAATCTTTTCTCATTTAAATACAATTCAAACTCTTGATTATTCAGTACGAACTAATATCAATCACATCTGGAATCGTGTATGGTGGCGCTGTGCTCGAAGCGGGACGCATCAGGCCGGGCCGGGGATAACCTACAACAAATCACCGTTTTACCGTTAATTATAGTTTCTCAAACATAAATTTAAAAAAATTGGTTTAGTTTGTTTGGTTCTTTAGAGGACTTTGCTCTTTGTTCCAACTTGCGTAACTCTGGGGTAATTTGAATTATTTAATGGAATTAGGAGCCCTGGCCCGGCCTGCCTAGCGCAACCGACTCACGTGGATGATTTCGTCATACCCTTGTCCCGAGATATTCTGAGTCAAGTTGAATAGCCTGACCTGAGGGGTGGCATTGCTCTGGCCTGTTTTCTTCGGCAGGTGCTTCGCAGCCACAACTATCATCTAAATACTATTCAACTTTATACATTTCTAGTCGACGCAGCGCCGGGTGAAGGCTCCCCTCGATCAGGCGCTTCTCGAGGTCGACCCAGTGAATCGATATCCACGTGTCAAGTTACAGGGGCAAGTTTTTTCTCTTTTCTTTTTTCTCTTCTATAATTTTTCTTAGTTTTATTTGTAGTTGAACTTGGAAGTTTGACGTGCCTAGGAGGGTTGGATTATTCGGTGTGAAACTTGAACATGGGTATTATAATTGGACTCCAGGGCAGCCTCTCGTTAATTAATTACGTTGAGGCTTCCCTCGAGGGGAGATGGAACGAGCGGGGATAAGCAAACATTTTGGGGGATTCAGAAATATGAAAAAATTCTCTCAATATGAATTATTCAAACTCACCGGAATTAGTGTTGAACTTTTGCCTGAGGGAATTGGCGAGACGCTGGGGCCCCGCTAGTGCCGGTAAACCACCGAATAAGCCACTCAGGGTGGACGTTACGTCGTTCGTCACGTCCTCGTCCCTCGAGTCGCCTGACGACTCCTTGGCTCCTGACGTCTCCTGGCCCTCCACCTTTTTAGCCGAGTCCTCTACCGAGCCTGCCAACAGGGAACAAAATAAAAAAATTGTGGTATCGACCTGCTCGACCCAGAAAACTAAAGGCCAATTTCACTTCCTCGGTGATGCCCACCCACTCACTCGAGCTTTTTCAGCTTCACGGATTGATTTGTCACTTGAGTTTCACTTGAATTTCTAGATTTTCATCAGCACTATTTTATCCTCCCAAGGTTACGCAGTTAAATTCCCCCGGGACATCACAGTTTCGATTGATTAATTAAGGAATTAATTGATTAATCAACGACTGATGGCATTACCGAAGATGGATTAATTATTTCTCAAAGATTGAATTGATGAAATGATTAATAGAACAAGTACTTACGCAGACCGATGGGCTCCCGATGGCAGGGGCGTCCCGGTGTGTCACTTGGTCGGGTTAGCTTTGCTACGTCTGCCAAGTGAGTTCTCCCCGCCACTGACGGTGAGGGCGCCCTCAGCCACCCCTCGTCTCCTGGAGGGTTATCAGCGCTTGAGCAATCAGCGCAAGCGCACCCTCCAGCCTCATTCTGGATTGGTCGGGGCAATCGTATACGTCAGCCCCTCGTGCCCATAACCGACTACGCCTTCTCTCCAGTTTTATTATTCCTCATTCTCTGTCCTTCTTGCACTCTCAATCCATCCCCTCTCAACCCCACTACCACCGCTGCCCGTCATCCCCCGGGAACCTACAGGCCAGGTATAACGCCAAACGGTCGATGCTGCGCGGGTATTTCTGGCCTCAGGTCGATAAGCTCACCTGTAACACCAACGTACAGCCACTACGTCTCTTCAACTTTATTGCGCATGGGTTTTATTCAGTGTCCTTCAACCTGCGGATACCAAATGATTAAGAGTGGACTGTATGACCATTCGGGAGGGGGAGGGGGGAATTAAGGGCTTCTGCAATTGAGAATATTGTCAACAATTTTCAATTTTCTTTGGCATTATGAAAGTCGGATAGTCCGTTTTTTCGACAGGACGAAATTTGAATATATTTTCATCCTCATCTGAAAATTCTAATCTTCACTCAACTCGGGTAAAATGGGTCGTAATATTTGTTACAATATTCACGAGAAATATGAGATTCTGAGATTGAATAATACCCACTCCGCCATAATATTCCGTTTGCATTCAAATGATTCTGAATTCACTCAGAATTTTCCATGTCACCCTCTCGTTTTTCATGAAAACTTTATGGTAAATATTCTGTACCTGTTTCGGGGGGCGGGGGGAGTTTTCAAGCGTTTGCCGTTGGGGAAAATGGAACAGACGAGAGCTGCTGAGGGAGTTACTACTTTTTGACGTGCTGCCAGTTGGGTAACAGTGGAAATGGTTGGGCTTTGGCGAGACCGATCGTTGAAGTTTCCACTTCGGGCGTCTCTGGCCAACGATCGTTGAACTTTCTCCGATGACATATTGTCATGCTCACATTTTAAAGTCCCACTACATGGGAAATGCATAATAGAATTGGTGAACAACAAAATGCTGTCCCTAAAGTCAAGAATATTTTTCTCAATTGGAGGTAAATGATTTCGTTGAAAAATCAGGGGAAAAGCACCTCAAATAAGAACATAAATATCACATTTTCGGAGATGAGAAATAGGTCTGTTGATAATTAATTATTAATTAATTGATAATGTCCTTAATTGAAGGAGATTTTTCTGCAAAGAAAATTGAAAAAAAAATTGCGCAGGCAAATTTCTGACGTAATTGGTCAGAGGATAAAGACTGGTTCTGGTATGAGTGAATTCGATACAATTAAAAAAAAACATTCGAAAGACTTCGACGAAGAGCGAAGTGAGTGCTATTTTAATAACGGATCGATGAAAACACTAGAGTCCACGACGAAACGGCTGTTAGAACTGGTTGGTGGATTTTACGGGGTGAGGTCGACAGGACCGAACCGGCCAGTTCCTTCCGGCGCGTGAAATGACCCCTGTAGTTCACCTATTTCATGTATCCAAATGAGGGGATGCCCCTCATTCTGAGTATGCCATCCATGAAGTGTTAACATGACTAAAAACAGAAAGCATTTGAAATTACGCAGGAAAAAATTTTCTATGAATTCGAAACATTGAGAACATAATTTTGTGAATTAAACCACCCAGGTAGGAATTATACAATTCCTACTATACAGCCCCTCATAGAGCCCCTCTGCGAAAGTAGTGGTAGATTGCAATTATTGAAGATAATGGCAGTGTTTTCAGGACGAACAAACGTAATGAAACACTCAGAGGCCCGGAAAATGCAGAAATCAATTTTTTTTCACCTGGGGCCAAAGTATAATATCATATCTTGGATTTTTCTCGGGGAAAAGTCGACTTTCGCCTAAATCGAATTTTTTCGCCAAGTGAAGGTTGATTCCGTGTTTTTGGGCCCCTCTAATGCCAATAAAACCCTCATATGCGCCATAAATGTCGAAATGAAAAAAATTTTTTTTCACCCCGGGCCAAAGTGTCGGATCTTGGATTTTTCTCGGGGGAAAGTCGACTTTCGCCAAAATCGAATTTTGTCGCTAGGTGAAAGTTGATTCCGTGTTTTTGGGCCCCTCTAATGCCAATAAAACCCTCATATGCGCCATAAATGTCGAAATGAAAAAATGTTTTTTTCACCCCGGGCCAAAGTGTCGGATCTTGGATTTTTCTCGGGGGAAAGTCGACTTTCGCCAAAATCGAATTTTGTCGCCAGGTGAAAGTTGATTCCGTGTTTTTGGGCCCCTCTAATCCCAATAAAACCCTCATATGTGCCATAAATGTCGAAATGAAAAAATGTTTTTTTCACCCCGGGCCAAAGTGCCGGATCTTGGATTTTTCTCGGGGGAAAGTCGACTTTCGCCAAAATCGAATTTTGTCGCCAGGTGAAAGTTGATTCCGTGTTTTTGGGCCCCTCTAATGCCAATAAAACCCTCATATGCGCCATGAATGTCGAAATGAAAAAAAAATTTTTTCACCCCGGGCCAAAGTGTCGGATCTTGGATTTTTCTCGGGGGAAAGTCGACTTTCGCCAAAATCGAATTTTGTCGCCAAGTCACGGTTGAATACGTATTTTTGGACCCCTCTAACGCCAATGAATCCTTCGGAGGCTCCTGTCGATTACCGCTAATTGATCGTTGGCTTATCCAACCGTCATCGTGTCATCCGACCAAACACTCGAGTTTCAGAAAATTTATACATATGCATAAAAAAGCAGAGGAGCCGACCGATGCAACCGCATGCCTAATGCAACTCGTGTCACGTCCCAGGTATGTCTCAGATACAACACAAACGTGACCCGCATAACTCGCTAGTACCAAATCGCAGTATTTCACATTGTCCAGGAATTCATTTGACTTTCTTCGGCATCATCCTTTAATGGGAACCGAAATCTTCAGTTCCGCCTAAACGTCGAAAACATCACACGGAACTGAATATGTTTTATTAATAACATATGACAAATTGGGAATATACACTAAGAAAAAAAAACTTTTCTGAGATGTACATTTTCACTAGTATTATGCGTCCTACATTTTCATCCATTCACAATCACACATTTTTCTCCATAAGGGATGATTGATTTTGTATTCAGAAACAACAAAGAAACACTTGTACAGTACGTCCCATTACCCGTCGTATCAAAAGTGAATGTAAATTACTCGCTGCAGGATGAAAAAATAATCCAAGATGTTGAGTGGATCTCGTTATGGCGTTTGGCGATGGTATATTTCTCAAGGGGCCATCACAACTGAGGACGATTGAGTACAGAACGACAGGTTGAGAACGACTCCACTAACGATCAAACTTTCCTTTCCACTCATTCATTCAATTCTTACATTTGCCTTTATCCAAACATTCGCAGCGATTTTATTATGGATATAACTCATGACTAAAATAGGGGGAGAATAATTTTACCAATTTTATCGCCTGTTGTCGAACGTTTGATCGAAGGTGTGTCCAGTTGATTATTTAATTTTTCTGGGAAGAACAGCAGTTGAAGGGAGAAGGTAAATTAAACTGTTACAAAGAAAAGTCACGTTCTTCCGGGGGATATTCCGATTTGACTGATTCGCTTGCGTTTGCGCTGTGAATGGTAAATTGTGTATCCAAAAGGAGTGATGCAAAAGCCGTGTAATTCGGTTCCTTCCGATTGAATTGGCTCCTCTCCTTTCCCTCAATTTCTCCGAAAAATTCAGTTTCAGGACTAAAGGGAAATGTTGACGAATAAAAACCCCTCCGTTTCGGAAATTGAGAGAAAAGGTAATCCTCTAACTTTCAATTTTCTTCATCAATTATTTGCAGATATTGTATTGAATTATAATATTCTGCCTCACTATTAGATGAGAATGATGACACAAGAACTGTGTCAACCTAATGACAAACAAATCAGACAAGAGATCAGGGTTAGTATTCGTAAAGTGCCATCTTGCTGTCTATTTTTACATTTATTTCTCTATTAAATGTACATGTAGAGTGTCATGTAATCCCAAGCAGGGTCGTCCAACGAATCACTCGTACCCAGAAGCCGGTGGGAATCACCGAGTTACGTGTGTGGTAACAACAGAGTTTCGTCCTAAAAACAATTCTCCCCGGATTGTGATATATCGTAACACGCGGTATAGATGAGATAAAAGCCAAAAAAAGATAACCAAACCCCCTGTGATGGATCGCGCAACGCACTCTTGCGGCGGCGTCCCTCAAACACAATCGCTAAAAAAAAGTGGAACGTGCACCGCAACTCCGTGAATTTCGTAAAATAAAGACCAAGTCTTGAGACGAAAAATGCGTTTTATGTATTGGTTGCCGTGGCACGTGAGAACTTTAGTCATGTGGGCGGTTTCGTAAGATTTATTCTCGTTAAACCATTTAACATTCTCGGGGAGTTTGAAATTTTTCTAGCACTTGTTAAAAA